GACCAGTACACGGTGACAAAAAAAAATAGTAATAATAATAATGGGATGAAGTCGGAAACTGAGGGGTTTATCATGGCTTACCAGGATGGTGTCTTCAACACCTTAGTCTACCGCAGTCGCGTGATGGGTATAGAGGTTCCTGACACAAGGTGCAGAGCCTGCCGCGAGGCGCCAGAGACCCTAATGCACTTGCTATCAGCATGTCCAGCATATGCGGACTCGGCCTATATCCATGGACATAACGCGGCCCTGAGAGTGCTATATTACCATCTACGGCACTCTTACGGTATTGACGAGACACCGGTTATGCCCTACGCTCCGGGGATATTGAATCCGTTGTGGGAAAGAGAAGTGCCGAATTTACTGGAACTATTCGTTCCCCACCATCAGGCTCATACAAGCTAATAAGCCTGATGTAGTCCTTCTCGACCACCAGAGCAAAACGATATTTGTCGTGGAGTTTTCAGCTCCTGGCTCCTGGCAGAAATCTTAGCCGAACAGATGCAGAAGGCTGTCATTCTTGGCTCACTGCGCGTGGTCAGGGCACATGATTCTCGGACCCAATGAGCACTTACCCACGGTATGGGGAGTGGTCGTTGGTTGATAATGCCGGCGCGCCCTCCCGAATGTATCGGGGATTCGGGAGATAGGGCCTGACCAGCGCATACTTCGATGAAAAAAAATAATAATAATATTTTCAGTTATATTCATACATGTGAACTACCTTTGTTTTTTTGTCTTGTTCATTGACAGTTCAGCCTAGCAATTTTATGCTACACTAGCCCAAAATTGTTGAATCCGGTAAATATTTCATTCACAAAATCATAAATTATTTTTTTGTGTAAAATCGATATGTAAATAAGATATTTGATATAAAAAAAGAATAAACCAGCATTTATTTATTCACAAGAGTTCACTTCAAAGTGTTGAAACTGCAGAAAAAAACAAATCCATATTGAAAGTGATTTACTGATTTATAAACAATAACCAATGAACAAAATACTTTATTCACTCTTAGACTTCTTCTCGTCTTCCTTCAAATGGAGAAACACAAAGGAAAATATAAAAACGCCCAACATCATAGAGAAGGCTCCTGTGTAATAAGGATAGGCACTGGTGATGAACCGCTCATACTGGGTGTGCTGCAAGGGGCGCACTGAAACTTGGGTGGTACTGAAGAGGCGTGTATATCCCACTCTGTCATAATCGACTTTGAACTGGTACACTCCATAAACATCTGGAATTTTGAATTTAGCTTCATAGTGGCCAGATGGCTTCCTCTGAAGGGTTGTGCGAATGAAGGGATCAATTCTGACGAATTCCAGTTGGATGTCATTGGCAGTGAAAGGCTTCCACTGTCCTTTTTCGAGGATGTCAATTTCGATAGTGTATACCTAAAAAAAAAATAGAAATTAATCTAAAAGAAATGTGTGCTTTGTTGCAAGTACAACTATTTCTACTTGCAGAAAGACATCTATATGTCTCTATTTACAATATAGAAGTCAATATGTATTTATTCAAATATATTGTTTATACCCAAATGATATTTCAATATCGCCAAAGAAAGAAATGGCTACAAAATCTGAAATATGTTCCAGAATAATGAATCAAATATTTTGAGTGCAAAGCACTCTCAAAACCATTCAAGGTTTTACATAATACACCTCAGAACATTTTTGAAAAAAGTGACAGAGGAAATGTTAAAAAGAGCAGCACTTTTTATTCAGTTCAGACTCAAATTGGACCGCTAATGAATTGTCCGAATATTCAAATACAAAAAATGGCTCCGCCTTTTTTTGTGATAACAAGCCTCAGAACTTCTCATACATTGCAGTGATTTTACTAAATATTCAATCAATCAGAAACAATAAAGACGATTTATATATCTTACTAGAGAGTTCAAACTATCCAGATGTAATTGTGTTAATGAAACACTGGCTCAAATTAAATGAACCTATTCACATCCCAAACTATACTGTATTATCAATTTATTGCAGAAAATATTCGATCCACGGGGGAACAGCAGTATTAATTCACAATATAATGAAAGAAAATCTGCTCTTCACAGACCATCAAAAAAATAATAACCTCATTGAGGAAAAATAGTTTCGAGTTTTCTATGGTTCATTGTCAAAAAATAAACATGTTCATAGTATGCATAAACAGACCTCCACAGGCTGATATAAATATATTTCTCACTAGACTGGAAGCACTTTTGAATGAGCAACCTACAAACGCATAACTTATTGTGACCAGATTTTAATATTAATTTTGATGATAAAAAATCTGCAAACACCCAAAAACTACATAATCTTCTGATATCCTTCAATTTAATAAAGCATGTAAATAACTCTTCTCGAATATCCCAAAACAAGTACTAAAATTGATTATATTTGTAGTTAGGCACTAGGATATATAAACACTAACATAGTAGTAAAATTTTGTCATAATGATCTCCTGAGGACGCTAACTTGGTTAGCGAAACGCGGTTCATTAGATATATCTGTACTGATATAAAGGAAGACCTCATCACTTGCTCGGTTGTACCCTCTGGACTATGAGATCATGAAACACTATTATGCAAGGGGTCCAGATGCAATCAAATAATAAGTTATATAGTGATCGATTCGGCAAACTATACAGTAAAGAAACTGTCTACATTTTGACCAAGAATATATCATGGAGCAGGAAGGTCCTTTTTTTGGGTTTAACGATCAACTTACACGGTATTTCAATGAATATTTTTTCCTTCCAATTTTTTTTTTAATCGAGAAAACCCTGAATAACTAGGGGAATAAAAATATAAAAAAACGGCGATCTTTTATATACCGGCGTACCTCAAAGCTCAATAGTGGGCCAATTGTATGCCAATGACACCACCATAATGTGGCATAGTTCGGATTTAGAATCCTTGAATAGATTAATTCATAATGATGTGTAATTCAAATAAGCTTTCTTTCAATGTCTCAAAGAACAATGTTGTCACTTTCAGAGGGCAGATTGAAAATATTTCACAAGAAGAGTCGATTGAGAAAAAACGTCATACAAAATTCCTGGTGTTACATAGCAAACTGAATGTTGATAGTCACATTGAGGCTCTCAAAAGCAAACTAGCATCTGGATGTTATGCAGTTCGGGCCATGTCCAATGAACACGGGCTGTCCAACGCAAATGTGGTTCATCATTCATCAATGGAATCTCACCTGTGTTATGGTATTGCCTTCTGGGGGGTTAGTAACAACCATATACAGGCCATTTTATAAAGCAAAAAAAGGGGTTGTATGAAATTTTGAAATAAGTAGCAATATTCATTTTAGAAACTGCATGCCTGATAAGAAAAAACATTAACAGCTTTGAAGTCATCCAAACGAATTATAGTACTCGGCAAGCAGAAAATATTAGATTACCTACTCCAACCCCAAATCTTGTCAAAAACTCTCTTATATTGTAAAATATATAATAATCTACCACTGGTGATAAGAAAAATGGAAAGTTGAAGTCTTCAAAAAAGCATTGAAAACTCTACTTAGTGAGAAACCATACTACTGCATTACTGACTTTTTCAATTAATCTAATTGCAATACCAAGGTCAGCTTATGTTATGTGAAATTACCCTGGTCTGATATAGAATTTGATATCATGTGTACCTTCATTCATTATTATTGGACTATTGAAAACATTTTCCCAACACCAGAACAAAAATTAAGGTATTTCGACGCGCGTTTCGTTAACGAAGTTAGCGTCCTCAGCAGATCGTTATGACTAAATTTTACTACTATGTTAGTGTTTTTATATTCTATTGGCCCACTACCTGTTAGTATTACCTAACTACCACCTATTATTGATCCTATGCTAAACTACCTGTTTTTAATACCTCTAATTTTTTATGTATTTCCTCTATGTTAATGATCATCTCTAATATTTATTGGTTTTTCATTAAGAAATTATTACGTATAAGACCAAACAAAGACGAAATAGGACCTTTATCGCTATTCAAAGAAGTCATTCCGCACTTTTTGATTTCCAAGCTTTCGAAGGCATCCAGAAACCTGTTGTAATGTAACGGTCTCAACAATATTGAACATTTCCCACTTATTTTATGGTCGTTCACTATGGCATGTTGAACGACACTAGATTTCTCCGGTCTATGAAACCGAACATGCGAAACATGGTCCTTGCAGCCAGCTAATATAGTCCGTTTGGTTTGACCAACATATTTTTTATCACAATCCTCACAGCTTATTTCGTAAATCCCAGACGTTTATTTTTGTAGCATCTTGCCTTTCGGACTGCCCAACACTTGTTGAAGTGTTCTGCAGTTTTGAAAGCCAATCTGATACTCAACTTTTTGAATGTTCGGACCAACCCATTGGTGTATTTGGGTTCATATGGAAGAATATTATTGGAGTTTTTTCCCAACACCAAACCATTATTTTAACATCTCGACACGTGTTTCGATCATCAAGTGATCATCTTCAAGAGGAAGATCCAACTAATTCTACTTACAAAGTTATCCTTATTTATACCAAAGCTACGTACCTCTTCTAGGTACCTGCATCTTAAGTGTTTTAAATTTATTTCACAATATTACCTTATCTACTAGTCTCAAATTAATTTTACAATGTGTCCTTATGTAATAGTCAGATAAATTAAAATATTATTTCAACAAGCTATACAGGGTGTCCCTGGACTTCCTCTTTTCCTCTCGGGAATGTATAGATGGGGTCAAAATATCACCAGTACTTCATATAACTTTTTTTCCTAAAA